ATAATGTGAACTGATGGCTTCAACAAAAGCGTATACCTTCAATTAGCTCATTAAAAATATTTAATGCAATTAATGCAGGGGATATAGAAAGTTTATATAAAGTTTTTATTAAATACACATAAATGTACAATGTAATTAAGTATTTTGTTTTTACTTGATTTGCTTGCTGCAACTCTGATTAGTGGGATTTTATGTTCAGCATCATGGGTAACGTAATTTTTCTAATTCAGTTGTTAAATTTGATTTATTTTGGAATAATGTGAACTGATGGCTTCAACAAAAGCGTATACCTTCAATTAACTCACAGTAAAATATAATATATATACGTATATGTATATGTATATATGTATGTATATGTATATGTTCTATATGTATATAGCTCTTCAATTGCACGCACAAAGGCGCCGGCGCGCGCTGTAGCCTGTATCCCTACATATCAAAGCACGAAATAAACTGCGAGCATGCAATGTCGTGGTCCGTTAAGTGATGAAGTTACCAAAAAGGTATTACGATTAAAGCTGCCTTAAAACTGTGCATGCATGTAATATATTTTATATGAGTCACATTTAAGAACATGTCTCTGAAATAGTTTTCAAAACTGTCCTAGAGCAGCCCAGCACTGTCTCACTCATCTAACACACCCAATTTAACTGGTCAGCTCATTAACAGAGACTTTTAAGACCTCAAGTGGGTCAGAAAAGGTCAAAAGAGTTGAGAGAAAATATGATGCGTGTCAGATCCGCATCACGTTCAGCAGTGGCAGCTCTTAAAGAAATAACAGCCAAAACAACCTAATAACCAGCTGCTGTTAATTAAGTATTTTGTTTTTACTTGATTTGCTTGCTGCAACTCTGATTAGTGGGATTTTATGTTCAGCATCATGGGTAACGTAATTTTTCTAATTCAGTTGTTAAATTTGATTTATTTTGGAATAATGTGAACTGATGGCTTCAACAAAAGCGTATACCTTCAATTAGCTCATTAAAAATATTTAATGCAATTAATGCAGGGGCGGGGCTAGGGTTGGCCACCCCACTCACAGCTGCTGCTTCTGTCACTTTTTCTCTTGACAAGAAGTGCATTTATTCAGTCGCAGAACGACTGAGAACGGGAGACGTTTCAGACGCGTGCTCCACTTCACTTCAGCAGCAGGAGCGAGTGCGGAAACGGTACTGTGCTCGCAGCACGTGCTCTTCAATTGCACGCACAAAGGCGCCGGCGCGCACTGTAGCCTGTATCCCTACATATCAAAGCACGAAATAAACTGCGAGCATGCAATGTCGTGGTCCGTTAAGTGATGAAGTTACCAAAAAGGTATTACGATTAAAGCTGCCTTAAAACTGTGCGTGCATGTAATATATTTTATATGAGTCACATTTAAGAACATGTCTCTGAAATAGTTTTCAAAACTGTCCTAGAGCAGCCCAGCACTGTCTCACTCATCTAACACACCCAATTTAACTCGTCAGCTCATTAACAGAGACTTTTAAGACCTCAAGTGGGTCAGAAAAGGTCAAAAGAGTTGAGAGAAAATATGATGCGTGTCAGATCCGCATCACGTTCAGCAGTGGCAGCTCTTAAAGAAATAACAGCCAAAACAACCTAATAACCAGCTGCTGTGTTGTCTATAAATCAAAGGACAGAAAAAAGAGGAAACAATAACTTTTATAGCTTTAAGGATTCATCTAGGCTATATTTAATTTAGAATTTGTTTGATATTTAAAAAATATACTGTCTTTTGTTTGTACATTAATTTGAAGATTGAATGTGAAATTATTGCAATATAAAAGTATATTTAAAAACTTTAATGTTAGGTGGGATTAATCACGATTAATTTCAGAAAAATGTATGATTAATTTTTTTAATCGATTGACAGCAATAATAAATATATATATATACATATATACATGCGCGCGCACACACACATATATATGTGTATGTATATTGACTTTTTATTTTTGAAACCGACTGTTGCAGCCCTTTGGGGCGGGGCTAATTGCAGTTCTATTTAGTTACTCTAGTTACACGCTTACAGACTTTTTTTCCACTCTTTAAACACATTCAAGGCCACCTAATAGCACTAGCAGCAAGTTCATAATTACATTTCTGGAGTGTTTCAGTGCTCCTGTTAACTTTAGCTGTAGGAGGAAGTGAGTATACAGATGAGACGATAGAACCGCTTAGGTGAAAAAGTCACTAGTGACTCACATGTACAACTCTCAGTTCTCAGTTCAAGTCTCTTTCTTTGTCAACTTCAAGTGAAAGGTTTTTATTTAGTTTCGATACAAATCCAGAATGCCCTTAGTAACCACATAGCAAAATGCTGAAACCATTGATAACACTTCATTATCATGGTTGTGACTTTTACACTAAGTGCTACTCACATTTACTGAAAATCAGTTTAATCGGTTTTATTATTTTTCTGTTATGCTCATTTTCACATTCATTTAGTAGAGAATGTCCAAATAAATGGATCCATTTGGCTCAGTAGAACACAAATCTTCGTCTCTTTCAGCCAACTGTGTTTTAAAGCGTCTCCTACACTGTTTTTGTGTGTCTTTGCCAGGTATTTAGACCTGGATCTGGTGGTGAGAGATAAAGACGGGAATATTCTGGATCCTGACCTGACCAGCACTGTCAATCTGTTCCGAGCGCATGAAACCGCGTCCAAGCAGATTGAAGCTCGCATCCAAGAGGAAAAGGTAAACGATATTAGACTGTTTTCATCCATTATGGCACTTACATTTTTTTTCCGATACCTGCGATTGATTTGGATTGAGATATTTTAATGTGTTTGGTGTTTGGATTGTGAAGGTGCAAGGCCTAAAAGCCGACGGCACACTCACATCGGCTCTGTTTTTTCTCATCACCACCTGCTTTGATGTTTAATAAACACCTTGAATATTAACTGTTACTTCATATTTATATTTGGACGCAACTATTTTGTGAAGCACAACCACTAAACCACATGAAAAAGTCCCTGAAAAAGCTCTGAAACACCATCGCTGACATGTGAGAGGTTGCACGGGAACAGAGAGCGTGAAAGCGAACCATCTCACTTCCCATCTTTGCTGTGGGGCTCAGTGTGACAAATGGATGGTGATATAGCGCAAAAAAAAAATAACATTTGTATTACAGCATCAATGTGTATTCACCCTCCCCCCCCCAATCAGAGCAACCATTGCTTACAAACAGCCATTCTTATATATATATATATATATATATATATATATATGTGTGTGTGTGTGTGTGTGTGTGTGTGTGTGTGTGGCTCTGTGTGTGTGTGTGTGTCTGTCTGTGTA